GGGAGTGGTAGTCCACCCATCTTAAAGCGGCCACGTTGAAAAACACTGCTACAGATCTTCTGCACCGACAGAGCGCTTTTCCCCAGCAGTGCAACGCCCTTCGCTAAGAGAAACGTGACATTAAATGTCACCGAAAAAATCTGAACGGACAGGCTGGACTGGGAAGTTGGCAATACTAACCCTGAAGAAGGATGGGAATCCTTTGGTTGATAGCAACGGTAGAGGGATCTGACCGTCGAACTAACAGGAGCCGGGCAAAACTGGAAGATTTTCCCTTTATTCGACTTACGTGACACCCCCCCCCCCCCCCGGTTTCAGGAAAGCGACGCAGGGCTAGCCCCCGGATTTCCAACCACCAGAAACTACTTGGGGGGGAGACCCCCGAGAAGTCTCATGATGGGAAGCTAGGCTGGGAAGTTGGAAAGAAATCCGAGGTGAAGGAAATGACCGACCGTCTTGGCAGGACCGGAAAGAAGATTGTGGGGCTGTGGTCTCAGATCACAAGCTTGCCTTGAAAGAGGGTTGATTGACCTCAACGCTCCTAAGAGCCCACGTGGGAGGCAGGAGAAAATCAGATGAGGCTAGATTAGGGTTTCTCAGCCTCAGCAATTTTATGTTGCGTGGACTTCAACTCCCAGAATTCCCCAGCCAGCCTGGTCTAGAATTTAATTCATTTTGCTTTCTCTTTTCTTAGGTATCATTCAGGCAGCTGAAAGTAACCCCTCGCGTGCGGGTGAGTGAGACCGTAGAAGGAGTGGGGCCCAGGAAGGATGTCAAGGGAATCATCATAATAATAAATAATTTATTAAACTTGTACGCCACCTCTCAGCGACCCTGGGAGGCTCGCATCGATCAAACAAAAAAATTACAATAAAATCTATTAAAGGTAAAAGCTGGCAAGCGCCATGACGCGCGGGGTCTTGTTCTCCCGCGCCAAAGGCCTGGGTGGAGAGCCGGGTCTTCATCGCTGTTCAACATCAGCAGAGGGGGGCCATCCAGATGTTGGGGGAACCCCATTCCAGAGGGCAGGCACTGCCACAGAGAAGGTGCGTTTCCAGGGTCCCCATAGAAGACATTGTTTAATCAAAGGAACCCAGATCATGCCAAGATGTAATTATTTAGACCTGACGCTAAGCTCTTTTGCTCATGCCTGTCCCCAAATGAATTGTCTATCCCAGCATTTCTCAAGCTTAGGAACTCTAAGATGAGCGGACTTCAACTCCCAGAATTCCCCAGCCAGGCATGGTGGCCGGGGGGGTTTTGGGGGTTGAAGGCGGCTTTCTCTATAGTTCTTGAGGGTTGCGGAAAC